CATGACAAGACGTGACACAGAAACCCTAAGCATGACAGCCATACTCAGGTCAAAACTAATATGATGATTCCCTTAAAAATTGCAATTATGCCCTGGCCAGTGTATCTCAGTTGAGTGAAGAATCATCCCATACAGAAGGATTATAGGTTTTGATTCCTGCTCAGGCCAGAGGCCAAGGTTGCAGGATAAACCCTAATCCTTGCAGGTACAATCCACAGTCTGGGTTTGTACAGGAAGCAACCATCGATGCTTCTCTCTAGCACTGATTTTTCTACTCTCCTTTTCTCTCTCTCTAAATCAATGAAAAAAAATGTCATTGGGTGAGGATGAAAGAAAAATTGCAATTAACGCATATTAAATTGCATGAAAAGAACATTAAATATCCAGAAGAGGTACAGTATAAAAAAAGTGGCACCTGACACAAAACATCCCATCGTAATGGCAAGACATCTCAGGTGCAGGGCTGCTTCCAGTAGAACCAATCAGGTGTGGGAGGTGAGGGGAGATTCTGAGAAACCATAGATTCTTTCACTTAAATTGTCACCTCAGAACTTCCTATTATGGGAAAGTTTAGGAGTATGGGAAAAAAGATGGAAAGAAAGACCTGACAGAAGAAAGAGTGGAAGGAAAGAAGGAAAGAAGGAAGGACAGAGAGGAGAGAGGGAGGGAGGAAGGAAGGAAAAGAAAAACTTCTTTATTTTCATTCCCACTTCATTTGTGGAGACCTGAATCCAGTTCGATCAACACAGGTGTGGAAGCCCAGGGAATTTAACGTGAAGATTTCGGTATCAGCCCATGGAAACACAGGAAGGGGCCGGTTCTGTGGACAATGACATCCCACTCACCCTATGGGACCCAGATGTGGGCTCTGCCACAGCTCTGGCTTCAGCTGTGCCCTGCAAGGTGATGTCCAAGGTGTCGGTGCTGAACGTGATGTTAAAGAAGGTGAGCCCTTTCCACACACCTTTCTGGTTCAAGATCAGCTTTGTGGACAGTGAGTCTCCTGTGGACCTCCTGCAGTAGATTATTCATGTCAGCCCAGCTCAGAGGAGTGTGATCAAACCTTAGACTCATTGCTGGTCAGCCCTGTCCCAGCAGGGAGACACATGTTTGTATTTGAAGATGCTGTCCCCAACCCACCCTTCATCCCTGAGAATGACACCATTGGTGTGACAGTGGGCCTCATCACCTTTACCTACCATGGTGGGGAGCTCTTCCACATGACTACTACGTCATCGATGAGAACTCTGACCCAGAGCTGCAGAGGAACCTGCCCCCAAGCTAGACTTCTCTCAGTGCCAATGGAACATCACAGCCTCTAATCCTTGGGTGATGCATTTCCACATCACCTGGAACAATAACATGAATAACCTGGAGGCCATAGAGAACCAAGACGCTGCCCTAAGCTGTAGCCCTGTCCCCTCAAACAACTGCACCCCTGTCAAGGGCCTGGGGCTCGCTGATTGTGTCCCTGGCCTCCTCCCCAAGGACTCCATGGACTCTACTTAACTGGGAGGCTCTAGGCCCTCCCTGGTTGCAGCCAGGACAGCAGCCAGTCTCCCCACACACCTAAAGGTGGTAGTCAAGCCTCCCAGAAAGCCTGTGGGGACCATCTGCAAGACCTTGAAACCATCAACTATATGCAGGCCTGTCAAACTTGTCCCCCAAAAAAGAATGGGGCTCAGGTCTCTCAAAACCACAGACAGAAGGATTATCTCAGCTTTACTTTCCAGCCCTGGCCAAGGCAGGCACTTCAGTTCTTAATTCTCTCTAACTTATGTCTTTTTCTTTTCTGCACACAACCCTTGTATCACCATGCTTCCTGATAAGCACCACTTACTCAGAGCACTTCCCACACACCTCTCTGGCCTGCCTCCAGGTTTTCTCAGTCAATGGCTGGCAAGCATCTGGTGCTGTTGGGCCAAAGACTCTGTCATTCCTTTCCTTTTCCAAATATCTGATGGGTCCACCCAGCTTCCTGGAGCCCCTTGGATCCTGGATTAGAAAGTGGACTCAGACACATTTTCTGTCCTTTTCCCAGGATGTATTTAGCCCTTTTCAATCCAGGAGACCCAGGAAAACTGTTCCCCAAAGTGTGATAAGAAGAATGCTGAGGAATGATGGTTGGCACTTTCTCTGAGTCACAACCACCTGTCATTTCCTGTAACTGGCTCAGGGTTTCCCTGGAGGCTGCTCCTGCAGGGAGATGGCCTGTTGGTGTTGAGCGTGGGTCACCGGCCAGCAGTGTTACAGGGTGCAGTCAAGAGGGGGGACCCCAAATGGGCATTTGAAATTGGGTCCAGAACTTAAGGTGTCCAGGAGATTCCCGCCCCCCCCAGGGTGTGGGTTGGGGGAAGGGACAAATGGAGCAGGACCATTGAGAGCTGTTTTGCAGCTAGGCTCTGGCGTGGTCATTTAACACGCCATTTAATAGCCTTTGGCTGGTTGCTTAGATATGTTAAATAGCTGTGATCATCTCTGAGCTGGGGGGAAATGGAAGTAACTTCCCCACCAACACGTGACTGGGGGCAGATCCCCCAAGCTGCAGCGCCTGCGTGGGAGCTCGGAGAAGATTGGCTCCAGGACATGGGGCCACACCTGCCCAGACTCATGATGGCAGCCCAGTAAATCTGGAAGTATACGAGTTCTGGCATGTGAAGCCGAGTGTGGGAGGAGTCGGAAATGAGGCTGCAGAGGAAGATTGGCCATGGGGATTTAAAACCCAGACTTGGCGGCCATTAGGAAGAGAGAACCACGCGGCAGCCATAGAAAAGAGAACCACGCGGCTTTGGCAGAGTGAGGACTCTCCCTTCCCGCAGCCATAGAAGAGAGAACCACGCGGCTTTGGGAGAGTGGGGGCTCTCCCCTTCCCGCAGCCCTGAGAGAGAGAACTATGCGCATCCCAGAGAGGGAGAACCATGTAGCTTTGGACAGAGTGAGGACTCTCCTCTTCCCTCAGCCCTGAGGAGGAGAACCACGCGGCTTTGGGAGAGTGGGGGCTCTCCCCTTCCCGCAGCCCTGAGAAGGAGAGCCATGCGCAGCCCCGAGAAAGAGAGAACCTTCCCACAGCCATAGGAGGGAGAACCACGCGGCTTTGGCAGAGTGGGGGCTCTCCCCTTCCCGCAACCCTGAGAAGGGAGAACTACGCGGCTTTGGGGGAGTGGGGGCTCTCCCCTTCCCGCAGCCCTGAGAGAGAGAACCATGCGTCTTTAGCAGAGTGGAGACTCCCGCATCCCAGAGAGAGAGAACCACGAGGCCTGGACAGAGTGGGGACCCCCGCAGCTTCAGAAGGGGGAACCACCACCTGGTTTTAGCAAAGATCCTGGCGACTCAGCCGAGGGTGCCGGGAACCCAGGGAGGTCTCCCAGTCGAGAAGGAGGACTAAGAACCAGAGGACTTTCTGAGCCATGGACTTCGTTTTCCTTCCCTGAGATACGGTACTCTGGACTGGGCAAAGGGGGAAGGAAGGAAGGACTGTGTGTGTTTGTGGGTGTTTTAAGTGACTTTGGGATTTTTGATAAAGACATTAGGTCACTACTTGAAGTTTATATAGCATTAAATATTTCCTTTCCTTTTCACGAATCTCTGGCATTGAGAGATGTCTTTCCTCTGGCGGCAGACATAACGGACCCGGGGCCTTCTTTCAATAATAGTATATTGTCTCAGGCCCCCCTTGTCTGTTCTGTAACAGCAGTGACCATGGAACGCTGTGGATGGCTCGATGATAAACGCGAGAAAAAACAACACATGCACAGAGACAAACTAGTTTCTGTGGGGAAGTAGGGACGAAATGGCCACCCCCCCTGGTGGGGAACACGCTGATTTACAGTCCATACCTGCTTTTATTAGGCTCATTTTGCATAATAATTCAGGTAAAGTACAGTACTCATTAGGGGAAGTAAGGAACTGTAGAAAACAAAGAACTCTGCCGGTCTATTGAGTTGGGGTCAAAGAACTGTAAGACTGAGGAACAAAATAACTTCCTCCTAAGACCCTTCTCATTCAACTGAGAGCATTCTAAACAAAGGAGGTTTCACAGTAATTTACATATTCTTTCTTAGGCCTGATCACCCTGGGGAATCCGCACTTCTCAGTACCGAGCTGCACCACCCTGTCATTGTTTCAGGCTTAGGTGGAGCAAGGGAACTAAGGCAACCAAGAAATAAGGAGATTTTCTCCCAGACGCTGAAAACTCAGGCTATGTCAGAGCCGAGGAGTGAGGGTCCATCACCCCCTTTTGCTGCAGCCCCCCAAGTCCTTCTTTTGGGGGGCCTCCCAAAGTGATCGTGCCTGTCTTAGGTCATTCCCCCCATGGGGAATCTTACCCGTCTTTGGCTAACCGACCAAGCTTTTTGGGGTTCAGTCATGAATAAAGCAGCAGAAGCAGCATTCCTGCCAGGAAAATAAGCTTTTGTCTCCTTGCTGGCTTACGGTTCCAAGGGCGTTCCCTTAGCTTTAGCCTAGGCGGGGGTTTCAGCTTCTGATACCAGTCAGGGCGGTTCCCAACAGTTGGAGCAACTGGCCCCACTCTGCCTCAGAGTGGGCATCACAGCCCCTCAGTGACTGGCCACTGTGATCTGTGCTCTGATAAGACCTTGTGCTCTTGAGGCTGCAGAGTGATGCTGTCATAGGGAGCAGAAGGAACCCAGAAAATCTCCCACCCATCCATGTTTTCTGCCACTTTCCCCACCGCATCACTTCTACGTGGAGGCTGTTGTGATTACTACTTGTATATTAAACAGTATTTTAAGATTTGAAATAGGTCTAGTTGTTCTAAAAATAAACGTAAAGTGAAAACTGCTGGAAATCTACCCAGCATCCCGTGCTGGGGCCTCCCAGTGGCTGTTACAATTAAGGGTTTGGTGAGTGGCTTTTTGGATCCACAAATCACAAGCAAAGGCAATAAACCAAAGACACCATTTCCTTTTGGATTTCATGTGAGAGAAGAGAACACCTGAAAAAGAAAAAGAAAAAATCCACTGCATTATCACACCTTTGAGTTAGGACACAGAAACAGGTAGTAAAAGCATCTTCAGAGCAAGGAGGGAGCTAATGAGCCCAGTGGAAGTTTTGGTCTCACTTCCCCATGAACTTGCATCACTGTGGTTAGTGCTACTGCTTGTATATGAAGCACAGTAATAATCAGCCTCATCCTCAGGCTGGAGCCCAGAGATGGTCAGGGAGGCCGTGTTGCCAGACTTGCTGCCAGAGAAGCGATCAGGGATCCCTGAGGGCCGATTATCATCATCATAAATTAGGAGTTTGGGGGCCATTCCTGGTTGTTGTTGGTACCAGGAGACATCATCACCCTGCCCAACATCACTGCTGCTTCCAGCACAGGAGATGGTGACCCTCTGTCCTGGGTTCCCAGACAGTGAGGGAGGCTGAGTCAGGGGAGCCTGGGCCCAAGAACCTGAAAAGAGTAAAAACACACTCAGTGCTCAGTTCAGTGCAGAGGCATGTGAGTCTGAGGAGGAGACAAAGAATCAGCCCAGATGTCCTCATGGTCCCCTCCTTGGGGGCCTCACCTGAGCCCTCAGTTAGGAGGGTGAAGAGTAGCAGAGCCCAGGACATGGTGGAGATTCCCTTCTGAGGCAAGAGTGTTGCCTTCTGAGACCCCAGCACTGAGTCTGGCTCCCCCAAACTTCTCTTATCCCCTCTTCTTTCCTCAGAGGAGGGAGTGACCTCCATGCAAATCTGCTTCTTGCATCTGCCTCTCATCACCACACTCTGACCTGACCCTTGATACAGATGCTTCGGCTCACCAAACAACACAGCTAATCTGGGACTATTTTAAATGTTTGACATGGAATTTTCTCACTGAGAACACGCTGTGACCATCATTCCAGTGTCCAGGAAATGGAGACCACATCTTATTGTAGGAATCAGGGTGGTTCTTGGTTGACAAATACAGGAACTTCCACTGAGAAACATCTGGGAAGAGGGTGAGGACAGGGTCTGAAGTTGGCTAGAAAATATTCCACTATCCAAGGACCACAGGCAAAGCCGGCATCTGGCTCAGTATTCTTTGTCCCAATCTCTACAGTGTTGTGGCTCAGGGACATTACTGTCCCTTGTAAAGTAGAAATATTGAAACACAACACATACAGGACATCTTCCCCTCAAGCACCCACTCAGGGGAACTTCCAGATAAGTCTTCATACAGGTCATGGTAAACCACACTTAAGTGCTTTCTCCAAGTTAGACTACACTGCCCCCTGGTGACTATAGATGATTCCACCCAAGCAACTGAAAAGGCAGTTGAATGGAAGCTGGAAAATTCTGCTCTGTTGCCTTCTCCTCCTCTTTTACTTCCAAACCAACTCACTCCCAGGGCTCTAGATATCCTTGACATCCATATGAGCTCATTATCTTCCTTTAGAACAGAATATCAACTGCCAAATGATTTGGTCCAGACCCTCCCCACAGAACCACTGAGGTCTTTGTTAGCCATCTTGTCACAGGGTTTGTGCTCCAGAGGTAGATATTGTCCTTGGTTGGAATAGTACACTTGAAATAGAATCAGTTGCAGGAGGAAAAATGGATGAAAGAAATGGGACAAAGGGAAGACAGACTGACTTCTCACAATGTCGAAATACAGCATAAGCAAGAGGGAGAGAGATCTCACTAGGACTGATTGCCATTGAATAGAAATCAGGAAGTGGAAATCTTGTGTTTGACATTCTGGGAGGTGAAATTCACTCAGGTTTGGCAAAGAGCCCAGCTCTGGGACTGTCCTTAGAGCATGTCTGTCTGTCACATGGGACACATAATGTCCTTCATCGTGCCCCCTCATAGTACATTGAAATGACCTCATCTGAGAGTTGTGTTACTTATTGAGGCAAAATCTCTCTCATCCACAGAGAGACGCTTGGCCTGGTGTATTTTTCTGGAAAGAGTTGGATTTGGAGAACAAACAAATCCAGACTGACTGGTCCTGGCCAGATTGGAATGGAAATGTCCTCAGAAAATAACTGGAGGTTCTATGGATTAAAAGACTCAGAGGACACTCTTTTAATGCCACTGTTCATTCTGAATCACAAATATTGAGAAGAGAAAAGAGACAGGAAATTCTGGCCCCGAGAAGGCACAGATTTATGGCAGCCTCAGACATTGGAGGAATGGAGAGGTGATATTAGAAAAAGTGCCAGAATTCTATTTCATACAATTGTTTCACCATTGGTGCACTAATCATTTATGTGCTATATGACATGGTTTAGAGAATAATGTCTCTAGTGTGAAATAATAGTAAAGTGGTAGTAATCAGTGAGCTGTTCAGACATCCATCCACTCCACCTGTGGATCAAGTAGACTGGATCCTTGTCTCCTGAGAAAACCATGCAGAAGCCCTCTTGGCACATTCCAGTTGTCCACATAGTACAGCAAGAAGCAAACTTCTGATCTAGGTTCCACCTTGTCCCCATGCTATGGGAGTCTCCCCTCTCATTTAACATTGTTCTGTATGTGTGTGACCACATGACAAGATGTGACACAGAAACACTAAGCATGACAGCCACCCAAGTAGGCAAAATGAACACTTGTAACTATGAATATTAATATTCTATAAAGCCAAACAAATAAATTAACTCACACAAATATTTATTCCCAAACTCATACTCAGATCAAAATGAATATGAGGATTCCTTTAAATATTGCAGTTATGCCCTGGCCAGCACAGCTCAATTGGTTGAAGAAATGTCCCATTACAGAAAGATTGAAGGTTTCGATACCTGGTCAGGGCAGAGGCCAAGGTTGCAGGTTCAATCCCTAGTTCTTGCAGGCATAGTCCCCAGTCTCAGCTGTATAAGAAGCAACCATTCATGCTTCCCTCTCACACTAATTTTTCTGCTCCCCCTTTCTCTCTTATAATCAATGAAAAAAATGTCATTGGGTGAGGATAAAAGAAAAATTGCAATTAACATTAAATTGCATGAAAAGAACAGTAAATATCCAGGAGAAGTACAGTGTAAAAAAAGTGGCACCTGAGACAAAAGATTCCATCAAAATTGGAAGAAATCTCAGGTGCAGGGCTGCTCCCAGTAGAACCAATCAGGTATCAGAGATGAGGGGAGATTCTGAGAAACCACGGAGTTTTTTACTTAAATTGTCAACTGAGAACTTCCTGTTATGGGACAGTTTAGGAGCATGTGAAGGGAGACAGAGAGAAGGAGCAGACAGAAGGAAAGGCATAAGGAGGAAGGAAAAAAAGAAGGAAGGAGGGGTGGGAGAAAAGGAGGGAGGGGAGGAGGGAGGGAGGGAGGAAGGAAGGAAGGAAGGGAAGAAGGAAGAAAGGGAAGGAAAGAAAAACACCTTTGTTTTCATTCCCACTTCATTTGTGGAGACCTGAATCCAGTTCGATCAACACAGGTGTGGAAGCCCAGGGAATTTAACGTGAGGATTTTGGTATCAGCCCATGGAAACACAGGAAGGGGCCGGTTCCAAGGCCAATGACGTCCCACTCACCTTATGGGACCCAGATGTGGACTCTGCCACAGCTTTGGCTTCAGCGCACCCTGCAAGGTAATGGCCAAGGTGTTGGTGCTGAACGTGGCAATTATGGAGAATGTGAGCCCTTTTCACACACCTTTCTGGTTCAAGATCAGCTTCGAGTGCAGTGAGTCTCCAGCAGACTTCCTGGAATGGAAGATCGTTTACGTCGGCTCAGCTCAGAGTGAAGAGTGTGATCAAACCCTAGACTTGGTGCTGGTCACCCTGTCCCAGCAGGGAGGCACACATTTGTATTTGAGGACTATGCCCCTACCCATCCCTCTTCCCTGAGAGTGCCACCATTGGTGTGACAGTGGGCCTCATCGCCTGCACCTACCATGGACAGGAACTCTTCTTCGTGACTACTATGTCATCAGTGAAAACCCTGACCCAGAGTTGCAGAGGAACCTGCCCCCAAGCTAGACTTCTCTCAGCGCCAATGGAACATCACAGCCTCTAATCCTTGGGTGACACACTTCCGCATCAACTGGAACAACAACATGAACAACCTGGAGGCCATAGAGAATCAAGAACCTGCCTTAAGCTGCAGCCCTCTCTCCATCAACTGCACCCCTGTCAAGGGCCTGGGGCTCCCTGACTGTGTCCCTGGCCTCCTCCCCAAGGACTCCATGGACTCTACCTAACTGGGAGGCTCTAGGCCTTCCCTGGTTGCAGCCAGGACAACAGCCAGTCTCCCACACACCTAAAGGTGGTAGTCAAGTCTCCCAGAAAGCCTGTGGGGACCATCTGCAAGATCTTGAAACCATCAACTATATGCAGGCCTGTCAAACTTGTCCCCAAGGAAAGAATGGGCCTCAGGTCTCTCATAACCACAGACAAAAGGATTATCTCAGCTTTACTTTCCAGCCCTGGCCAAAGCGGGCACTTCAGTTCTTAATCCCCTCTAATTTGTGTCTTTCACTCTTCCACACACAAGCCTTGTATCACCATTCTTCCTGATAAGCACCGCTCACTCAGAGTGCTTCCCACACACCTCCCTGGCCTGCCTCCAGGCTTTCTCGGTCAATGGCTGGCAAGCATCTGGTGCTATTGGGCCAAAGATTCTGTCATTCCTTTCCTTTTCCAAATATCTGATGGGTCCACCTAGCTTCCTGGAGCCCCTTGGATCCTGGATTAGAAAGTGGACTCAGACACATTTTCTGTCCTTTTCCCAGGATGTATTTAGGACTTTCCAATCCAGGATACCTGGGAAAACTGTTTCCCAAAGTGTGATAAGAAGAATGCTGAGGAATGATGGTTGGTGCTTCTTCTCAGCCACAGCCACCTTCATTTCCTGTAACTGGCTCAGGGTTTCCCTGGAGGCTGCTCCTGCAGGGAGATGGCCTGTTGGAGCAACCAGCTACACTCTGTGTCAGTGTGAGCATCAGGGCCCCTCCATCTCAGGCCACCACGATCTGCCCTCTGATAAGACGTCATGCTCTCAAAGCCACAGAGTGATGCTGGCACAGGGGTCAGTAGGAACCTAGAAAATCTCCCACCCATCCATGTTCTCTGCCACATTCTCCATCCCCTCTCGGCTACGTGGAGGCTGCTGTGATTACAGATAATATATTAAAAGGTTTTTTAATTTTTAATATGTTTGGTTGGTTAAAAATATAAATACATAAAGCGAGGACTGTGGGAAATTTTACCCATATTCAGTGCTCAGGTCCCTCTGGCTGTTACAATTAAGATTTTAGAATGAGTGGCTTTTTAGATTCACACATCACAAGAAAAAACAATAAACCAAAGACACCATTTCCTTCTGGATTACATGTGAGATAGAACACCTGAAAAAAAAAAAAAAAACAACCCAGTACTGCATTCCCAAAGCTTTGGGAGAGGAGACAGGAACACATAAGGAATACATTCAC